TTTGCTTCTGAGAGTATGTGTTCTTATACTTAACCAGATACCTATTAATTATTGCTATGAAAGGGCAGAACCAATAAGTAGTAAAAAGTGAACGTTCCAGAATTAGACCACCTCAGTTCAAGTTTGCAGCTACAATTTAATCAGATGTTTGTACTTGGGCAAGTTATTTACCTTCTTTATGACTTATTTTTTTCAACTATAAAATGAGAGTAATAATAGGGTTATTACTAGAAAAAGTAAGATAAATCATATAGAACACTTAGCAAAGTGGTTCCCACATAGTCAACACTCAATAAATTCTAGTTACCTAAAGAAAAGACTGCCACTTTTTATTTAAAAATACATAATTTTGAATAACTTCTTAATATCAGCCAATATAAGCCAAAAGAATTAACATTTGGGGGTTTTTCTAATGAGGGATTTAAATTCCTGATTGGCCATGGTAGTTAAATCATTGTCCAGAAAAATCAATTTGTCTTTGGCACATTTAGTAGCTAACCATTTTCTTCTCATGACCATATTTTATTCCCAAAGTCCCAGTGTCCAGGTGGAAGAATAGGTGACCCCATCTGTGCCCACCAGTCTAACACTTTTTTCAAGATGTCATAGTCTTTGAAGATGCTTTTAAAGGTCTCCACGCCTAGAAGGTGTCAACCTCACACAGGATTCACCTGGAGAGGCTAGCAATGTGTGGGTCTTGTCAGGCTGCACTTCGTACCCCAAAGGCATTTTAGAAAGACAGCATGGCTTCTAAAGGAGCCTGTAGCAATCACAGGGTGAGTCCCTCCTTCCTGACAGCAGTGGTAGGTTTTCTCTGTGGGTCTTCCTTATTACTCATATTCCCAGAGGATCAATATGCTACCAGTGTCATATGGGATGAAACTAAGTAGGACTTGAGAAATTAATAAAAACCAGGTCCCAGACTAGGGTGGGAGCAAGTATAAAAAAAAGAAGAAACAATCATAACCAATAATGTTTAGGGGCAATCTAGAACTTGGAGACTGATTATATGTAAAGCCAAAGGAAGGTGAGGGTCACAGAGAAAGTCAAGGTTTCAGAGATGGGAGTTTTGGGCAAAAGTTGAAGAGCTGGTAATGGTCAACTGACTTTGGTAAATCATAGAAGAAATATGGTCATTGGTGGGGAGAGGGGTGTACAAAAAGAGACAGACTAAGCAGGAAGTTTGTTAATCCAAGTGGTATCCATTGGAATCAGTCAGGGAGAGGATCCCTGGTGATAATCGAGATAATATGCTGTGGTTCAGTGAAAAGTAGCTTTTTTTATATAAATCTTAGGAATAATGTATCTAGTTCAAAATAAACTCATTTATTTAAGCCAAAGGATGGTCCAAATTAAAGAACAGTACTAAGTAAATATAGTAAGGTAATATGCAAATATGGTATTTAACATTATTTAAATTATAAATAAGTAAAATGAATCTGAAAAACATTCTCACAATAGGAAAACATTTAGGGGTTAGGATAAACCTAAAAGAGACAACAGTTATAAATGCTACAACATATACAGTCCTGACCCCAGGGCTATAGTTCCTGATTCCCTCAAGATGGTAAGAAAAATCAGTCTGAAAACCCTGAGAATCCTTCCCTCCTCAAAAATCTCTGTTGTCCTAGCCAGTTTTGCTCAGTGGGTAAAAGCACTGGCCTGTGGACCAAGTTCCCGGGTTTGATTCCAGTCAGGGGCATATACCTTAATTTCAGGGTCCTCCCGGCCCCTGTAGGAGGCAACCAATCAATGTGTTCTTCTCACATTGATGTTTCTCTCCATCTTTCCCTTTCTCTTCCACTCTCCCTAAAAATCAATAAAAAAAATCCTTGGGCAATGATTAAGATAGAGATAGAGATAGAGATAGAGATAGAGATAGAGATAGAGATAGATGATATAGATATAAATATAGATATAGATATAGATATAAATAAAAATATAGATATAGATATAGATATAGATATAGATATAGATATATAGATATATAGATATATACATATAGATATATAGATACATAAATACATAGATACATAGATACATAGATATATAGATATATATAGATATAGATATAGATATATTTTTTCTCCCCAGAGTTGTGATTAGGTTTGAGACTAAAAGCTTTCAAACAAAATAGATGTTCCATTTTCCCAAATAGGCAATTTGTACATCAGAAGCCTTTTTTCAGGATTAACTCCCCCCATATCCTTTGGCCCTTGCCTAGGTCATTTTTTTACACCTGAACATCCTCAACTCACATAATTCTGTTTTCAATATAATAGTGTTTTACCTTTATAGATAACTGTTTGGCTTTTTCTGATCCACCTATAAACTGTTTATCTTCCAAGGGTTTATTTGAGTCACCAGCTTGCTGAATTTCTGAAGTTTCCTGAGGTTTAAATACCAAACTTTCTGCATCGGAGGGTCCCCATTCTAATATATCTTCTTGTTCACTTGGAAAAACACTTGATAAAGTCTCAGGAATTTCATCAGTCTCATTCTGTTGGAAAACATAAATGTATAGGAATGCTTTTTTTATTGGTCCTTTTTAAAGTCATACAATGTTTTCTCTCTGACAACAAAATAATTATAAAAATGCATGATTGAAATTAAAAAGAGGTAGTAAGTTCCCTTTGAATATTTACAACGAAAAACTCAAATTGACTTAAGAAAAGTATGAAGTCTGACAAATTAATTTCCTCAGTCCTTGTTTCACGAAATATGGCTACTCCACAGTTATTATGCACCAACTCTAAGGAAATAATAAGATTCCAATCTAACCCTGACTGTACCCCAAACTCATTCAGAATCAAGGCCTACTGAAACAGCTAACCTCTGCCCAACCTGAGGTTCTTTGGTCCTGAAAAATGGGGTTTCTTGATGTTCTTCCAGAACCCTGACTTCAGGTATTCAGAGAAGAGCTGGCCCAGAGACTTTGAGAAGACCACCGTGACACCCAACTCCATCCCAAGCCCAAATGAAAAATTTTCACAAAAATATCACTGTACTCCTGCTTTGAGTTCCTTAAAATTGTCTCACACTCACCATTCTTATTCCACACAATTCTGGAAGTCCTAGCCAGAGCAATCAGACAAGAGAAAAAAAAAAATAAAAGGCATCCAAATTGAGAATGAATAAGTAAAAGTGTCACTTTTTGCAGATGACATGATTCTGTATATAGAATACCTTAAAGCCTCCTCCAAAATATATTAGAAACAATACATAAATGCAGTATAGTTGCAGGATACAAAATCAATGTGAAAAAAATCCAATCCACTGCATTCCTATATGCAAACAATGAAATTTCAGAAAAAGAATGAAGAAAAAAATTCATTTTGTAACTGCAACAAAAATAATAAAATACCTAGGAATAAACTTAACAAAAATGTGAAAGACTTATATACTGAAAACTACAAAGCATTATTAAAGGAGATTTAAAAGAGAAAAAAAAAAAAGACACAATGAAATGGAAAGATATTCATGTTCATGGATTGAAAGAATCAACATAGTTAAAATGTCCATATTACCCAAAGCAATATGCAGAGTAAATGCAATCATCATCAAAATCCCAATGCCGTTTTTTAAAAGAAAGAAAAAAATCATTAGAATTATATGGAACCATAAAAGACCCCAAATAGTCAAAATAATCCTGACGGGGGGGGGGGGGGGGCGAGGGAGGGAGACAAAGCTGGAGGTATTGCACTACCTGACTACAAATTATAAAAGCAATGTTAATATAAATAGTATAGTATTGGCAGGAAAAAAAACACACACACATGAACAGAAATGAGAGATCAGGAATAAAATCATATGTATGCTGGCAAATAATTTTCAACAAAGGAGCCAAAAATATAAAATGGAGGGGGAGCCTAAGCCGGTTTGGCTCAGTGGTAGAGCGTCGGTCTGTGAACTGAAAGGTCCCTGGTTCGATTCCGGTCAAGGGCATGTATATTGGTTGTGGGCACATCCCCAGTAGGGGTTGTGCAAGAGGCAGCTGGTCGATGTTTCTCTCTCACCAACGATTTTTAGCTCTCTAGCTCTCTCCCTTTCTCTCTGTAAAAAAATCAATAAAAAATACATTTTTTAAAATCAATCTTTATTGTTCATATTATTACAAAGGTTCCTCATTTCTTCCCCCCTCCACCAGGTTCCCACCCCACCCTCTGCCCCCTCCCCACCCCCCATTGTCCTCATCCATAGGTGCACAGTTTTTGTTCAGTCTCTTCCTCCCTCCCTTTCCCTGGGAACAGTCAGTCCACTCCCCTCCCATAAATGGATACATTGTTTAAACAGCTGCTGGTTGGAATTGGATTACCTGTTCTGGGTGGGAAGGGCTTGTCATTCCCTTTCTCCATTAAAATTAAGGTGTTAGCTTTAAAACCTCTTTTTTGGCAAGAGACCTTAAACTTTCAGAACTTTAAATTTTTCAGATAGTAAATCAGTTACTTAGCATTTTCTCATATCAATAATACCTCCACATGCCCAAGGATACACTTCACACAAAAGACATTTCCAAATAGATCAACCAACCTCATCCAGGCCCCACACAAGGCACTCACAGATCAACACCCTAGCGCTATACTGATTTAACACATCCAGATCTAAGCCTTCCTCATTTGATTCAGCAGACCCTCAAGTTCCCACGAAAGTTTCCAGCCATGTCTGAGAGGCAGCCCTGGGGCAGGGGCAGGCGAGGAGCGAGCTGTTCCAGGCCTGGCTGCTCCGGGCCTGGCCTCTGTTGCTCTGGTCCGTTCCACAACCAGCTGCTCTGGGTCTGGCCACTGCCGCTCCCAACCTGGCTGCTCTGGGCGTGGCTGCTGCTGTTCTGGGCCTGGCCGCACCCAACCCGGCTGCTCTGGGCCCTGCTGCTCCGGGCCCGGCGGTTCCGGGCCTGGCCGCTCCCAGCCTGGCTGCTGCTCCGGACCTGGCCGCACCCGACCCGGCTGCTCTGGGCCCGGCCACTACGGGCCCGGCTGCTCCCAGCCTGGCAGCTGCTGTTCTGGACCTGGCCGCACCCGACCCGGCTGCTCCGGGCCTGGCCGCTCCCAGCCTGGCTGCTGTTGTTCCAGGCCTGGTCGCTCCCAGCCTAGCAGCTGCTGCTCCGGACCTGGCCACACCCGACCAAGCTGCTCCGGGCCCAGCCGCTCTGGGCCCAGCCGCTCCGGGCCTGGCCGCTCCCAGCCTGGCAGCTGCCACTCCGGGCCTGGCCGCTACCAGCCTGGCTGCTGCTGCTCCAGGCCTGGCTGCTCCCAGCCTAGCAGCTGCTGCTCCAGACCTGGTCGCACCCGACCCAGCTGCTCTGGGCCCAGCCGCTCCGGGCCTGGCCACTCCCAGCCTGGCAGTTACTGCTCCAGGCCTGGCCGCACCCGACCCGGCTGCTCTGGGCCCAGCTGCCCTGGGCCTGGCCGCTCCGAGCCTGGCAGCTCCTGGCCTGGCTGCTGCTGTTCTGGGTCTGGCTGCTCCCACCCCGGCTGCTCTGGGCCCGGCTTCTCCAGGCCCGGCCACTCCGGGTCTGGGTGTTCCTGGACTGGCCACCCTGGGCTTGGCCGCCTCCATCTCAGGCCTGGCTGCCACTGCCCCAGGTCAGGCTGCTCCAGGCCTGGCTGTTGCTGCTCTGGTTCTGGCTGCTGATGCTCTGGGGCCTGGCTGTTGCTGCTCCAAGCCCGGCAGCCACTGCCTTGTGCCTGGCCACTCTAGGCCTGGCCACCGCCGTTCCAACATTCTGTCCTTTTTTTAAAAAAAACGCATTTATGTTGCAATGTTGGCTGCTGAGTTGAATTCTGACTTAGTCTTCCATTTTTCAAGATCTTCTTTATATTCTTTCTTAAGTAATTTTACTATCTTTTGCTCTCACTTGATTTCTTCACATTGAAAACTTCTTCGGTTTCTTCCTCCTTGTCCTGGAAGCTCAGCAGGTTGGCCTGTAGCACCCCTTTGTTCTCCGCGGGCTCCTGTGCTGCTTCAGCCTGTTGCAGGGGTCGGCACCACCCAGGAAGCAGCCCCCGGCCTCGGCTCCATGGCCCGCGCTCGGCGGTCGAAGGCCCAGGGGCACCCCTCCCCCTGGGGGACCCGTCGCCCGGTTCCTTGCTGGCGCCTGGCTGGCCAGTGTCTGGCAGGGGCTCCTGCTCCTCTTCACGTTACTCCAATCTGCAGCCTTTTTTCTCCTTCCTGCTAGGGGTATCTAGCATCAGAGTCAACATACTGTCCTCTGCGCGCAGTGTGCACGACTCCGGGGGCTCTGCTTTTCGCCACTCCCCCAGGACTCCACCTCATAGCCCTGTCTCCCTCTGCTTGAGCCTGGGTCCCCAGGGATTGGCCTAGAACTGGGGTTCAGAGCAGTCGGGAGTGGGGCTCAGCACCACCGGAGGTTTTGTTTCTTCCCATCAGGGCAATTCAGCATCAGGGTCAACATTCCGTCCTCTGTGCGCAATGTGCACACGACTCCGGGGGCCCTGCTTTTCACTGCTCCCCTGAGATTCCACCTCACAGCCCCATCTCCCCCTGCCTGAGCCTGGGTCCCCAGGGTCTGGCCCATAACTGGGACTCAGCGCTGCCAGTTCTAGAGTTCAGCCCAGGCCAGGGTTTTTATTTCCTTCCTGCTAGGGAATGCCAGGCAGGCACCCAGCCTTCTCCTCCTCTCCGGCTGCATCCTCTCCGCTCACGCGCGTGTGTATGCACAGCATGTCTCCGTACCTTAGGATTTTTCAGCTCCTCTGATTTTCCTTCTGGTTTTCTCTTTCCTTCTTCTTGTAGAATTTTCAGTCAGTCGACTACCTGTAACTCTGGGCAATATCCACTCTACATTTTAGTTGTATTCCATTGAAATTGTTGTGTGCTGCTGCGATTAGGTGTCTACCTGAGCAGCCATCTTGGATCCTCTCAAAAAATCAATAAAATATATTTTTTAAAAATTAAATTAAATTAAAAAATAATAAAAAATAAAATGGAGGGGGAAGAAACCTCTTCAATAAATGATGCTGGGATAATTGGAAAGCCACATGCAAAAAAATGAAACTACATTAAATTTTGTCCCCATGTATAAAAATTAATTCAAAATGGATCAAAGTCCTAAAAGTAAGATCTCAAACAATAAATCGCATAGAAAAAAACATAGGTACTAAACTTATTGACCATGGTCTTAGAGAATATTTTATGAACTTGATCCCAAAGGCAAGGGAATTAGAGGAAAAATAAATGAATGGAACTATATCAAATTAAAAAGCTTCTTTACAGCAAAAGAAACTACCAACAAAACAAAAAAGCAGCCGAAACCAGTGGATAGAGCGTCGGCCTGCGGACTGAAAGGTCCCAGGTTCGATTCCGATCAAGGACATGTACCTTGGTTGCAGGCACATCCCCAGAAAGGGGTGTGCAAGAGGCAGCTGGTCTATGATTCTCTCTCATCGAAGTTTCTAACTCTCTATTCCTCTCTCTTCCTCTCTGTAAAAAATCAATAAAATATATTTTTTTAAAAAGCGACCAACCAAATGGAAGATATTA